AGAGAGAGAGAGAGAGAGAGAGAGAGAGAGAGAGAGAGAGAGAGAGAGAGAGTGAGAAGAGAGAAAGAGAGAGAGCGAAAGTGACTGACCATCCCACATTTATAGTCACATAGACACTTCTGGCATGTTCATGACGTCAGAGAATAGCAGCATGACGTCACTTAGAATTTGCCATATGATTGGGTAGCTGTTTTACTGCGCAACACAACATAACTATTGCAATTCGATTTACACATATAGTCTTTAGTGTCTGTTTTCTCTCCTCCCCATTCGAAGGTGCTTCTGCAATTGTTAAATTTATTGTTTATTAAGTGATTCGTACTTTTTATTCTAGTAATTCACGTACTATTCGTGCTAAGCGGGAAGAATACGTAAAATTGAAGGCACGTGAGTTGAATGTAATTAATAGCAGAAGTCATGTTTGTTTTACATTATTTTTTTCTGTGGCAGTGTTAGTAGATATACTTATTTAGGAGATGTGTACTTATATTCGTTCTTATCGCAGCGATGGAAGGTAGCTAGTTTTCGTCTATTTGTCATGATGGAAGTTAGAGAGCAATAAATGACTAGATCCATTGTTGGAAAAATGATAATTGATTTAGTGACCATAGAATGTAATAATACTCTTGGATTTTCTCGATAAATTGATTAAGACTTTTGAATTGAACAGTTTAAGAATTCACACTTATCGCCGATCATTTCATTTTGCTCTCTGGAATGAAGTCCACAGAATTGAAGCGAAAACTCGCGGGTTTCAAGATTGCAAAAGGACTTCGTTTTCTTTTAAGTTTTGGGTTAACGTTTTCTTTCTGTTTCACGCGTAAAGTAGTGTATTTCGAAGTGAGTATCACGATGGAGATTTGAAGATCTTAAGCACTGAAAAGTGTATGTTAGCCTCATCTTCCGTAATTCACACACAAAAAAAAACATTATCAAACGAGAATTGATATTCTGCATTATGTTTTCATTTTTGTGTGGCCTTTTTGTGGGCATTGTTTTAGATACAACAACTGAAATGTAGTTTGGTGTAAGTCAAGTATCAGAAAAAAACAAATTTCATATATAATTTTTTATATAAGTATGAAGTGGATGTTTGGTAGTTATTTGCTTTTACAATCAAGTTGTTATAAACTATAACAGTGATTTTTAACCTGAAGAAACGCCTCCCTAGAGTGCGTTAGTAATTTCCAAGTGGGGCGCGACCCTTTGGGAAAAAGTAGGAATTTCTCAAACTATATTTCTTATTCTCTTAACGAGAGCATGATCAAATAATCAAATAACTCGTACTCAATAAAACTACCATGAGCGCATTTATAATTTTCTAGAACCTCGGAGAGAATTTTATTCATAGAGGCCAGGGCGACGTGGAGGGAAGGGCAAAGTCCTAATGGGGGCGTGGTAGTACGAAGGTCAAGAACCACTGGACTAGACTGTTCTCTACTAAGTTACAGAAAAATGCGGAAGTATCATGGATATATCACAACTACAAAACAAGAACGAGAAGTTGATAGCAAGTGAGATTCTTTTTTTTCAACTTCTTACACACTGTTGCCATTTAGAAAATATAGAGCAGAATCTTTCATACTTCATATCTAAGATGAGACTTAATGAGTGATAAAGTTAACCTGTTTATCGAACTGAAGTGGTTGAAACATTGTGTTTGTGAATGTACATGTTCTTCATAGTCTAAGACGAGAAGGATGCAACATATTTTTTTCTGT